ATGAAAATGTTTTATAACAGCAGTACTGTCACGATCGGCAAGAAGGCGATCAGAAAGTTGAGCCAGAAAGTCGGGTAAAACCGGGGATTTATTAATGAAAACCAGGACTGGGGAAACACGACAGCGAACATCAATGACAAACCTAGGGAGACTGACTCAGACTAGGACTAAATACACAAGACTAGGCAAACGTAACAGGCAACAGGTGAGAACAATCAGGGATGAACACGAGGTAACGAGGTGGGCGTGGCACACATTAGGATCGGACGGAGCCGGGGCGTGACAAGTACTGATTGTCTTCATTGAACAGTTACTACATAATGGCCAACGGTTTCTAACATTGGAAGGTCAGCTGCTCCCTCATATGCTGTAGCTGTGTAAAACCACTGTGCTGTGGAAAATAAACTAGCGCTTGCTATATACACCGTGCTTTAGTTGCATTAATCTCCTCAAGTTTCACTTACTTTGTAAGAAAAGTGTCCAAACTGTTTATCCTGGCAGGAAGAGACCGAGAGATATTTCATCTTCTAGTCACTCCAGAAAAGAACCAGAAATCACACTGCAAGGCCTCTTCTTGTCTCTCTGTCATGAGAGTTGTTTACCAACCTTATGTTTGATTCATTTGTCTCTTTTAATGTGGAGCAGTAGTGTTATCACTTTAACAACTCATTTCAAATGTTTGTGTTATGTCCTTGTTCCCAGCTTTCTTGAGAAAACATTCTGTTTCCCCCATCCATTAAATTTGTGTACTGGACACAGAATAAGCATTCTTTTGTGTCAGTGTAATTGTATACTTTTATTCAAGGTAACATTATAAGTATATTTAAAATGACAAGCCTAACTGTTACAGGATGGCAATATATTAATTTTCTAATGATCCCTGCTAGAAACCGCAAGTTTCAATGAAAAGTTTTATATTTTTATTGTTTATGGGTGAGAAAAGTAAAACTAAGTTGGATATCAGTTGTCACATATTTTTAGGGATATATGAGTACATTATGGGAAAACATTAGTTTTCAGGTGGAAAACATTTTGCATTCCAAAAAGGGACAAAACATAACAAAAAACATAAATGTAGAATCTGAAAATATTTCCTTTCAAGTAGAAGTTCAAATGCAAAGAGTAATTATTTTATCGATTGAGCATTTGAACAGATTGTGTAAAAAAACGAATGAAATGCAAAATGGTACATGCTGTGGAATTGTATTTGCTGTGAGATGAAAATTTTCATTGGGTAGTGTAAATATTTCTAGCATATACTATATTAAGATTTGTATTGTTATTTTGGGTAAAAGTAAACTGCTTCAACTATGCAAAAATGACATTAAATAATGATGCTTGCTTTAAAATTCCATTATCTTGCAATAAAGTGAATGTATTCCATTAATATCTGCCCCTTTGATGCTTTTAAAAATATACAGAAGTATCTTGTTAGTGAACAATGGTTCAATCAAACTTTTCCTGATTGACATAAGTCATATTGCCAAAAATGCCAAAAATATAACATTTGTATATATTTGTGGAAATTGATTGGTAGTGTGTTAGGTAGATTTTAGTACAAACAATTAATGGTGTAATCGCAAACAGGTTTTCTGAAGAAAGCCCTAGATGAAGGTTATGATGATACTAATATATTCAGAGTGCAGGTCCTCTATTTTGAATTCATTATTTCAGGTGGGATTTTATTTGTAATCCTCATTTCACCACATGTAAGTGCTGACTCTGTCGCCACTTAGGAATTGGGCTTAGACTGTGCTGAAAGTTACTTTTAGCATC